CTATGGTGCTCACCCTCCCAGCTTTAGACAGTTCATCGTTGTCCGTTCGAGGCCCCTCTCTTATGGGAAACCTCCGAACAAAGGGCGTTTCCCCCAAAAGGATCACATCTGCTTCAATTTTTCGGAATGAGTACCTTTCACTCAGGCTGTAGCAGGACAGACAATATAATCGTTCAGCTGTAGCACCCTTTCGGTGCCTAGCTGCTATGCCACACGAAGGAGGCACGAGGGCTGGGATACTTCCAGGTCGGCCAAGCCTAAACAGGGGAAGTTGAGTAGCAGAGGTCGGGTTCGAACCACGGACCTTCCGGTCAGCAAATTCGCGCTCTAACCACTTGATCCATCTCGCCCCACATACAATATCTAGGCCCTATTTGATTAAAGTGAACTATGCTAACTGCGATTCTCGGCTTTTCTGCGCGGATTTTTATCCTTCAAAATGTCAACTTAATTTTGTAGAGCTCATGCTTTCCCCAAACGAGCAATTCTCACTTAGAACTATGTAGCGTACAAGAAAGAACGGGGAAAGCCAGTGTCTATATGAATGTCCCACTCAAAGGCGTCTTGATTGCAAAATGTGTCAGTAAAAGACCAAAGCGTCGTGTTGACATGACGTACATAGCCACTTACCTGTGCTTGAGTTCGATTTCCAGCCCCCATCAAGATCTGTGTGACAGACATACTGTCAGCTTCTACCACCAACTTCTATGTTTATTCAGTCATGTGCCCAGGACACGTGCTGCCCAGATTGATGGTTGGAAAAAGTCTCATGCGAGCGTAAACGCATCACATCTTCCCGAGGTATGCCGTGTGTCTTTCCGGTCACGTACAGTAGGATTAAGACTGCTATCGATAGCAGGGTCCGTTGGAAGTCTTCTACGTAACCAAGCTTTTCGTGTTCAAAAGAGGCTTTTGCAACCTTTCAACTCTTTTCTGGAGTGCTTAGTTCCAACTTACTTTAGCTGTGACGTAATGCTTTTAGCTCCCTGATCCATGGGTCTTCGTACCATTCTGTCACCTTACATTTGCACCCTTGAATTCATCCAACGACGTACGTGATTTACGTTCAATTTCATGTAACTTCGTTATTGAGGACAATAACTTGGGTCTGTGCTCTTCGAAACGCGAGATCCCCGATCGAACGCGCCCCTAATTGTTCTCTTTTCGATACGCACACTAGTGCATAGATCTACAGTCTATCGCGACGTCAATACTAACACCAGAGCAAGTTGGATTGTCTTCTGATGCGATCAATTTGTCTTTAGGGGCTGTTTTCTAGTGTCTTTCGAGAATGCAAGTGTTGCCTCGTGTTTTCACAGGTGATTAAGCTAGCACCATACAGGTGTCCTGATCGAATCGAAATGATTTTGCCTCACTTTTAGGGTGACCGAGCTGGAATATGTGTACCACAATTGGATCCCAGTCTTCTGGAGCGTGGTCTGGTTGGCACACCGGGTGGTAGTCTCCAAACGTGTCATGCTTGCGTCCTAGGCGCAGTCCGAAAGATTTCCTACTTCAAGAATCCCGTGTTAAGCAAATCCCGCTTTCACATATTCATCGGTCAAGAAACGGTTCTGGCTCAGCTCACCTTCTTCGGCCTACGTGCTGAACAATGAACAGCGAAAGCCAGTGAAGTGGCTTTGGACTTGCAGCAGAACTACGTGTATTTATCGGAGTTACCCAGTGAGTCTGTCCATTGATCACCTACTACTTATAACAGGTGGATTTCCCTGTGGTGGGCAAACCACGGCGAGTTTGAGACGACCATTGAAGTTTACCACAAGCACTGAATCCCGCGTCGTTCTGGTTGAGAAGCGGATAGACGCTTCTCGACTGTGTGCTTACCATTGTTGTGACTTCGTCGCTTTTTACCCCATCCAGTGACCAGTTTATCCCATTTTAGGGCCCTTCTAAGATGATCTTAGTTGGTAGCTCAGTTCCTTCCACCAGTTATCTTGAACACATATACTAGTGACCGTCATTGACTATCTCACCAAACAATAATTTGGTCGCCGACTGGGTATTTTTATACCGTGGCAGTGAATTTTCTTGCCTTTTTTCATCGTGTTGAGCCGTAACATAACCACCCTCCTTGAGAAGCCCACTATCACTGTTCTCACCATGTCTCCCCCCTGTCAGCTGAAGCTCAAGACCAGGTCTGGGTTCTTGTCGAATTTGAACGCCCCGTCGTGTGTTACACCGGTGCTGTGGTAATTGGTGCCAGGCTTGACAGCACTTCGGCCACCGCGTGCCGCCTGGCATTCCATGGCAAAGTCCAAATGCAAATTTCTGAGCCCAACTACAAACAGACAGTACTTCCACAGCTTTGTGTAAGCCGCTTTTATTTGCAAATTATTGGGTATTTACAATCTGCACACACACAATTCCCGTGCTTCAACTCCCCACTCATAAAAATTGGCCTGTGGTTGTGCGATTCTCTGGGAGACATCCAAAGACTCGCTTGTCCAATCACTCGCTGTGCGTCGAATTGATGCGTTCCTAATGAGAATGAGAGGCATAGTGTCGCCGAGTTTTTCGCGACCTAACCACACTCGATGGCTTGACGCTGATCATGTTCTGTATGAGGATCGACAACCCAATTCAAACGAACTAATGAGACTATTCCTTAGCACTCGGATGATCTGAATCGATTGGTTTCACGTTCAATCTTTTCCTTCAAATCCTCATGAAGTAGTCCTGTTATTGAGTCTTGTGAAGTATAAGATTACTCCACCAGGTTACCCACCCTGGCGAATCATTCGAGTCAAGGACCCGCATGTCTCTGCATGTAGCAGACTCATCAACACCAGTCTTGTTCTCCTCGACTCCTGGAACGAGCCAGCCAAACGCCGTACCGACGTTCCCTCATCTTTTCTTGGCAACTACCCCACAGGCATTTCGTTTCTGGGGCTAGATGGCTCAAGTGGTTAGACCTCGAATTTACTGACCGGAAGGGCCATGGTTATAATCCGACCTCCGCCTCTCGACTTCCCCTATCTAGGCTTGGGCAACCTGGCAGTATCCCAACCCTCGTGCTTCCTTCAGGTGGCATAGGAGCTAGGCACCGGAAGGGTGTTAGAGCTGGACATATTTTTTTACCCCTTTGACCTTCCACACCTGCTGACTTTGGTTTGAACCGCGACTTGGCGCACCGTCAGCAAATGGCTTAACGTCAACTCTACGTCTCAGGAGCCGAATGGCGGTCGGTCATGTTGGCTGCCCTGGGCATGCCACTTTGGCGACGTGCCAGCCAACAACAAGCAATGATTTTGGGTTAGTTGAACTAGCTTATGTTTACACCAACTCATCGATAAGCCGTCAGCTAGTGATTTGGTCACCGACCAAAACGTTGACGCAGCCTTCCTCCGTGCATTTGCTCATTCCTAGAAACATCTGTGAATTTTCCACAGTAGAAAGTCTGAGAATTGGGAATCTGTTCGATTTAATTTAGGAAACGAAATTGTGTTCGGGTGACAGCGACCTCAAGTGGCCCGGTCACATTCTCTAACTGTATGACTTTTTTCGATTCAGAATTCTTTGAATTGGTGAAACTGAAACACACGAATTGTCAGAAGTAGTATGTAGTTTGCCTTGTCGAAGGAAACATCCCGATTTTGTGACAAGTGGCCCCAATATTCGTTGGAAGCGACCTTTTTCAGAGAGTTTTCTTAAGGTTATTAAAGTTTTCGAGAAATACGCTCATTTGCAATCAATTCGGTAGAGACTCAACTGAATCTCCCGTTTATGATATTATACAACTGAGTGTGCTGCACACAGACCGCCTCATGTTTCATTTGGCACGATATTCGAGATATCGCAGTATATTTTCATGAAGGAAACTATTCACAAGATTGCTGAAAACTCTTCGACAGCCCACGACCGGTTTCGCCCTCCTTGGGGCTCATCGAGTAGACGCAGCCCCCGAGTTTCCGTCAACCTTATGTTCTACTTGAACCCACATTGGACTGTTTTCAAGAAATACACTCATTTGCAAATCAGTTTGGTTTTTACAAGGCGCAGTCTGACTTCATATTCTCCGATATTCACCTCAATCGCTTCGCATTGCATGGGTTGAACTGATATGCGTTCCCGTTTTCCTTCCGTGGAAAATTTATTTTCACTAATTTGCGGAAGCTGGTAAATCGGAGTGCACTTCTGTACAAACGGTCGGGCTGTGTGTGTGATCCGTTAGACACCGAGAGAAGCCCGTGACCCAACACAATTGAATAGCATTGGAGAGGTTAGTTTTCGGGGTCCCTGGTAGGAAATTGCGAAGTGGTGTAATTTAAAGCTCAATTGCGGAGTGTTTTGGGCCAAATTTAGGCCTCCCGTGCGTGAATCTCAAGGTCATCACCACCTAACCCTTCTTTTCCTCTCAGGACAAAACCAGCTGTGACGAGGTGGTTGTGGTGTTGTCGAAGCCGAAAACTTGCCTGATTGTGTGATAAGCTCACAGTACAGTACTTATAGCATTTAAAATTGAGGGTTGTACTTGCCTGACAACTTGCGACAACAACCAGGTGTCCGTTTCATCCTAAAACTGATTAAGGTTCATTCAGGTGGACCGACCACCTGGAACGATCTTAACTCAATAGCAGTAGTATTACCATAAATTACGCTTGGTTCGCGAGAAGGTAATCGTTCTACATTCCCCGGGCCTGTTTCTCACAGTTCCGTTTTAGCTGGGGCGAAATGGCTCACTGACCGGAAGGTCCGTGGTTCGAACCCTCTGCCTATCGACTTCCCCCGACTAGGCTCGGGCAACCTGGCAGCACTCCATCCCTCATGCTTCCTTTGTGTGGAATGCTAGCTAGGTACCAAAAAGGTATTACAGTCGAACGACTGTCTTATTTTTCATCTTTTAGTTCCGTTTTAACTGGCTCAGGTGCGCAGGCTGCTTATGTACTACTGATAGGAGTAATGTAGTTGAAACATCATCATCGGGCGCAGTCTCGAAAAAGGATTAAGTGTATTCATTGATTTCCTGGAATGGACAAGTGGTTAGTGCGTATAAACGGCGTTACATTTATTTATTTATGGCAAAATACTGAGCCAGCATAGATACGGGACCACATAGAACAAGAACGCGCCAGATTCGTGAGGAAACCGGTTTCCTCATGTAACGCCCTGCCTACTTACTGCATTTTACAATGGCTATTTTGTAAACCGTCCCGAACAGGTTGATTTTCGATTTAGCGACATGTGCTTTTGAGTGTATGTCGAAGGTTTATCCTTCTGAACTACAACAGTGTGACCTTGATCTCGAAAACTTTGATATGTCCATTGTTTCACCTGATCGTCACGTGACTTCACCTTTGCATTTTCAATCATCAGGTTTACAGGTGCAAAACCAGACGTGGACAGATTGATCGAGTCATGGATTCGCGCACTTGTGTGGTTCGTGGGCTGTTCAAACGCGAGACAAACTGGGATGTCTTTGTCGGTCTACGTGCGCATGTCGAACAAGATGCACCTGGTGATGGGGATTCAGGGGAACCACGTCGGTTGTGCACTGGACGCATCGAATCGAGCTTTGGGCAAAGTGGGAAATGTCGGCTGGTACTGGACGGTGAGTCATCCTTCACATGATGTGTAGCGTCAGAGGAGAACACGTTTTTTTCGGGAATTGCTGCTGAGCAAACGGTGTCTGGCCATTTGTTTAATCTGTGTCGTTTTCGAATCAAATTGTTCAGTTGGAGCACCCCGTTCGGTGCCTAATCGGCATACCACCAGAAGAAAGCACGAGGATTGGAATAATTCCAGGTTGCCCATCCTAAACAGGGGAAGTCGAGATAAAGAGTTCGGGTTCGAACCATGGATCTTCTGGTCAGTACATTTGAGCAATAACCACTGAGTCGTCTCAGGTTTTTCCCACTACTTCATTATCTTAGATCTGATCCGGTGGCATTTTCTTCACAGCCTCCAATAGGCTTGATACCAAATACAATAACCTCATCTACAGCACAGCTTTACATGCCCCTCTCATCACTTATGGTCGGTCGCATTTCCATTTTTCTCTTTGGGAAAACCGGACCATTTCGCCCCGACATGACCAACCACACTATTTCTCCTTTGCACCCAGAAGCAAATCCGAATGGCCCACCACATGTATTTTAACTGACGGAACACTATCGGATTATGCTCCTCTACACTTTCCACTCCTCCGGAGCGACAGCTTTCCATCGGTCACGTCAATAAGGTTTTACTCTGACCACAATGCATTCATTATCCTGCATGCTGGTTTGTTTTATTCTTCAGGTAGCAACCAAACCGATGACATCCTCCAGATGACCAGTCCTCACTCGATTTCATTTCCCCTTTTTTCAGATGACCTGCCTGAAGCGGTGGTGCGATGTTTTGCGCGTAAATCTGGGAAGAAAGCGGAAATACCGTCAGATACTTCTCGGTGTAACTTTTGTGTAGTGTTGGAATTCAAGCGCTTTCTCTTTGACCCGAAACGACGCCTTGTTCAATGATGTACCCTTTTTGCTTTGCTGTGTCATGTCAAGTAACTACCCTTTATTCAAACTGAGAATTATGCACAATGTTCTCATCAGGAACGATTTTTACTTTTAGTTTTGTACATAATCCGTTTTTGTGATGTCGGTATTTGCTGAATTTCTGCAATATTCGTGCTTAGTTCACAGTCATGTTGTCTTGTTGATGGAACTTTGGCGTTTCCTTACTGGGTCAGTTATGTAGACCTATGGTACAGTACAAAAAGGACCGCTTTCGTGGACACTGGAGTGCGAATTCCCGACTTGGGCATTCTTCTTCTGGAAGTGCCAGTGTGCGTTGCAATTTAGCTGCATTGATTTTCTGAGTCGGTATATTCTATCATACTGTATTCAAACTGGAAGACTTAGCAGCAGGTGCTCAACACTTGTAGGGCGAGATGGCTCAGTGGTTAGGGCGCCAACTTACTGACCGGAAGACCCGTGGTTCGAGTCCGGCCCTCGCATCTCGGCTTCTGTCTAGATACGGGCAAACTAGCAGTATCCCAGCCCTCGTGCTTTCTTTGGGTGGCATAATGTTACAGCTGGACGGTTAGTTTTTGCTTTTTATTGACACTTGTACTCGGCTGCACCTGAGAGACAGTAAAGTCGTGTGACTGGAGTCATCCCCTGTCCTCTAGGCTATAATAGCGGACCAGCAGGCCCTATAATCCCCTACAAAACATGGCGGGTGTGTAAATATACTTCTCGCGAGAAAATGCACACAGGCCATTCACCATTAATCTGAGAAGGTCGTGACCAACTTATTGACAAATGGTCCAGGAGACTCCATAAGAGTTTCAATCTGTGTGGTGGGGTCATCTCGGGGACCGTCACAAAATGAAGGTAACATCCACATCAAGGTTAGCTGTTTCTGAGTTGGACCAACCAACACTCGACTGTGGGTGACTTGCTTTCGTAACTACGTTCGCACGGCGTCGTCCGTGTATTTCTTGGGGCTCAAGCAAGAACAGTGCATGCATTGGATTCCAGGATGTCGCGTTCAAATGGCCCATCAACCGGTGTGTGACCGAAGTTATGAGAATAGGCACGAAATTAATGAACTGTTCATCATGCGTAACTTCGGAGAATGGTCGTTACCTCCGGTAGCAACCAAGGTATCGTGCGCCAATCTTGTGAGGCGTACGTTCGTCTGCGGGCGCCGTCATGATTCTGAACTTGTTTGTGAGAATAAGACCACTTGCCATGCTATCAGACTGTTTATAGCGCTCTTGACGGGGAGAACCCCATCGTCCGCATAAAAGAACAGGATGTAGTATCCATGCTGAATTTTCAAGCAACGCCGGCCTGGACAACCACAATCGACTTAGCGCATTTGGTTACTCGACTACCCAAACCCAGAAGACCTGGTGCAAATTCTGCTATCATGACAGTCACTGGGTGCATCTTGACAAGTAGATGAATTCACAACTGGAGGGAAAAGTGCACTTAAAACCCGGACTAAACGCTCATCAAAGTCTTGGGGCTGCTATGGTCTCCAGTTGATGGACAATCTGTTTTAGACACGCGAGCCTGTTGAACTAACGACAGAATTTCATGTGCTGCGTCTTTTGATGCAATCGGAATAATATACGCAAACGATACTGCCATCAACGGCGAAGAGTCAACCGGTGGGTAGGAAAGTTGTCATGGACGTAACGGAAGAGAGCCCATGGTCAAGACATGGCGTTTTACTTATTATGACGCCGGATATAGCATCGTCTATGCATAGTTTTATAAGTCGCCGGTAATCTTGTAGTGATTTTTCCAAGGAAATATTGTCCCTAAATCCATCGAGCATTTTGCGCAAGCCAAGGCACCCTACAGTAATCAGAACAAGCCGCATTCGTGTAATTTTTGCAGCGTGAACCGCCCTCATCTGAACTGAACTTGTTTATTTACGTCGACGGGAAGCTTCTCGGAGTACGGCGCGATTGCCATCTGCCATTAGGTTCCATGCTTTGGCTCACGTTCTCGCGCTCATTCGGTAATAAATTCCGTACGACAGCTTTACACCATTCTGCTGCTGCCGAACAATCGGTCGAGCAACACAAAGAATGTATTCTGGAGACTGTTTACCGTTGTTTTCATGGTCGAATTTTGAAGCATCAAATTATTTAGTGACGAGCCGAAAATTAGTGAGTTCCCCCATATATATTTCGCCAAATTTGCTTATGCCAACATGCCTCAATTTTTTACAGATCCATGGATTGATACGCAGAATCGTGGCTTTCGCCGAAGCTTGCAAGGTCTGACTCGTTTTTATCGTTCGACATTTATCCTGTGGGTACAATAGACTCCCTGCACTGATCCGATGTAGCTGATACGATATATGATGGCCTTTGTGCACACAGAGGCTCCGGAATTCACCCGATGATCCGGAAATCCGGTCCACACAAGGGGAGGCACTGTTTACTGGTATTGACATCCAAAGCAAGACACGATGTTTACTTCCACGCTGGCGGCGTTCCCAATTTTACTATCCTAGACTCCTGCGATGTGGCAATAAACTCACTCACACGCAATCTCTTGTCCGCCTTGGGGATGCGCTCCTATTAGACACAACCATGCCTGAAGAATGACACATCAAAGCCTAAGGATAGGACGACAACCCGCCTGTTGCGTTACAACGGTGACGGGCAGGCGACATGGCCTCACCAGAGTATTTTTTGTGACAGCCCTGCTTAGATGTTTTTCAGAGAGGATCAATGGCGATTTGTCCTTTCTGTCTAGAGAATATACTTTTGTTGAACTAACCTAGGGTGTGTGGGGGAGCCATGGTGATGTCAATGGGGTCACCCAAATAGGTAGACGTTATCTGGCAGCCAAACCAGTCGCCCTCAGCTCTTTCGACGACTCGTTGCTTTGGGCAATAGCTGAATTCAGACAACCAGGGCTTCGATAAGAAAGACAAAGCAACCGCTTCCGCCGCAGTCATAGACTTTTTGGTATCATCAATTTTTCGAGGGTAATGCATGAAAGTTTGAACCCCTCTCTAACTATCAGAGCATGTCTTTGGAAAAGTAAAATTTTAGTTGGCGAAGGGGACCAAACCCATGGTTAAGTAACTTGCTTTGTGTTTGAGAGGGGAACACTGGTTAAGATTTCTTGGTAGACCAAGAGGATCATCGGAGTAGCGAATCCCAACCCCCAAGATACCTGTTATCTCCATCTACGGGTGCTGACATTTGACCCTCAGCATCGGTTTTCACTTCTAATTCATTATATTGTCTATTTTTGCGAAAGTACCCAAGAAAATTATTGAGTTGACTTCCTTAGACCACTTTGGGCTAGCCACACATCCCCACGGCAGGGCCTCGCAGGTTCAGGCAATCACATGCACCTGCTCAATATTCGATTGTCTAAGTCCCTTTTTGATCCACTGGAAAGCGTTCTGCGACCTGAGTCTCTCCTTATAGATCACGGAACCCTGAGCCGACCATCCCAGTCTTCTAAGTCACTGGCGTTGAGCACGATATTCGTATTATTGTCCCTGTGTTTGCACGCCTCCAAGGAATTTCATTTAAGTGTCACCGACCAACAATCCCATAATATGTTCCAAATGGGTATCAGCCGACCGCCTAACTCTGCATGGACGCCGCCACTCCATATGAGTTCTACAAATTTCAGAGCATACCAAAATTATAGACGCTCCCAAATGGCTAGAGTACCGTTATCTGGTGCCGCACATTCGTGACTAAATAACGGCTTTGGTTGGTTCTACCGTCTTCAGCACGCATCGCCTTTGTGCGCGCACACCGTTAGAACTGACACATTAAAGTCACCAACCCCGTGGACATAACTCCGTTCGTCTTTCTAAAATTCTTTCGGGTAAATGAACACTCCATAGATATCCAGCGTATCATCAACAGCTCAATTGGCGGCCTGGCCTGCATCCGTCAACACACCAAACATATTCTATGCACTGGGGTTCTTTGAAGACAAAAAGCGTATCCGAATCAGTTTATCCAACGTATTCAATAACAGTGCTCTGCGGTAGATGCGACACTTCCAAGCCTGCTGAGCCTTGCTCGCATTTCTAATCTTCATGACAAGTGCCACCGGAATAAAAGTTATCCCCAACATACCGTGGCCTACGAAACAGCCTTCCCTGGGAAGTTCCAACGGCATGATTGACTACTACGCCGTTTATCTCCTGACTGACGGGATTACTCAAACTTCATCAGTTAAACGGCTAGATCCATATCCAGTGGAGTGAGTGTGTAGTCCCGGTGGCTTAGGATCTTCTAGGGTTGTTGCAGCCTTCGTACTGTACGCAGTGGGTTTTCAGTAGGCGCTGGACAGTATTAAAAGCTGGATGATGACTGGTTCCATGGACGAAGTGGTTAATAAATATCACGAACTAGGTAGAACGTATAGTTGACATCACCGTAATCGATATCAGCAGAAAAGAGTCAGTGAGGCAGCAGGACTTTCTGGAAGCATTGACAGGGATGTACCAACATGTGATCGTACGGATAAGGACCACCGTGAGGCGAAAGTGAGCGGCCTACGTGGATAACGGCACGGATGGGTGTCAGTATGTTCGTATGTAGTTCCAGATTAGCAGAAACGGTGCATAAACGGATATACCTTCAACCGTTATTCGGCAGTCCAACAAAAAATAAGCGTAATAAAACAGGCTAAATCGCACACTTTGCGCCGTTTGAACTAAAAACACAACAGACACTCTCAAGCCAAGCGCAACCAGAATGAAGTACAAAGACATGGGCACCGGTGAAGTCAGTCTGATACAGTGGAAGATGCACTCACCTGTTATCCGTTTGCCCTGGTTTCGATCTCCCGGCAAGCCAGGGCACGCATCGAAAAAATTGTAGCGGACACATGAGTGAATCGGAGGGCAGGAGGAGACGAGATCTCATCATCAATAACTGGACGATGATAATCCTTAGACGGGGCGGAAACAGATGAAACTTGGTATGGAACCAAAACGTTGTCATGCTAGATAGATGTGAACCAAGTCAACCACGAGCTGCTAAAACAAATGGGAAATCTGCCACTTATTGTTGTTGGTTCACGACAGGTTTCCACGGAGGTGTTTGGGATAAACGGAAGCCAATTATAACACTTTCGGCCGTGCGTTGATCTCTGGCTACTTTCCTGTCCATCGTGTAATGTAGAGCACGAATTTGCAAT